GAAGGATTCAATGGGAGAATTAAGTTGAAGAATATCTCTAGGAGGATATCCTTCAGCTAGTGGGAGTAATATAGGAAGCGCTCCGCACCAGCAAGTGATTCTTATGAAGAAAGTAATTACATGGTTGTCATTCCTTCTGCACCTAACTCTCCATCTATGAGTATAGCACCAGAAAACTCTCTGAGCATTGGATAGTCCAATAAAAGAGAGCCTCTTCACGATCAGAATAAAGAGCCTGAACAAAATGCAAAACATTCAATTCTGTGGGTCTACTAGGATTCGTCATGAACTAACTAGGTTTGGCTTCCTCATGGAGGATCATGATGATGTTAAGATTCCCGATACGGATGAACCTGAGACCTACATAGAAGCAATATTAGATGTTGATTGATAGAGGTGGCGAGAAGCCATAAAATCTAAAATGGACTCGATGTGTATCAATCAAGTATGGAACTTGGTTGACTTGCCTATTGGGGTTGGACCCATTGGATCCAAATGATTTTCAAGAAGAAAATTAATGTTGAAGGCAAGGTGCAAACATACAAAGCTAAGCTAGAGGCTAAAGGTTATAGTCAAAGAAAAGGAATTGACTATAGTGATACGTGTTCGCCAGTTGCAAAACTGAAGTCCATTTGGATTTTGCTTGTTACAGCTGCATAATATGATTATTAGATTTGACAAATGGATGTCAAAACCCCTTTCCTTAATGGAAACCTCGAGGAGGAGGTGTACATGGTACAACCTGAAGTTTTTTTTATCCAAGTCAAATTCTATATCAATATGTTAATTGGAGAAATCTATTTATGGGCTAAAACAAGCCTCTAGGAGTTGAAGTGTTAATTTTGATGAAATAGTCAAATCGTTTGAACTCATCAAATGAAATGAGGATGCTTGCGTGTTTAGAGTGCGCAACAAGGATAATGTGGTCTTTATAATCATATATGTTGATCATAGAGAATGATATCCCCTCATTGAAATTCGTGAAAGAATGGTCACCCAAAATCTTCATGAATATCTTTTTGTTTCTGATAGACAGAAAGAACTAGTAGAATTTAATTATTCTAGCACTAGTTTCATGTATGATAAGAAAAACTACGAGTCACAGTCAGTATATGTTTTTAGTCTCAATGTAATAGTAATGCTGCAAGATTTGCAAGTAAGAAACTATTGTAAATTCGACAACTAGAGCCTAGTAAATTGTTGCATTTGATGCAACATAGGTAAGCGTTTAGATACATTAGTTCCTTAAAGAAATAGGGGTAGTTCCTAGTGACAGTTATCCAATAATTGTTATTGTGACTGTACCGGTGCATTTGCACAAGCTAAGGAACCAAGATGCAAAGTAAGGAACTAGAAAATACCTGTGTGCTATCATGTTTTGAGAACAAATAGCAAGAGGAGATGTTGCAATAGAACACCTTCCCGTAGAGGACAATTTGGCTGGCCCATTCACTTTGAGATGTGAGAAACATACTAGACTCTTGAGAGTCTAGGTGTTAGACGCATTGGTGATTGACACTAGGCCAAGTGGGAGATTGTTAGTATATATGTCCTAGCGACAATCACTTTTTAGAGATATATGTACTTGATCACATTCAGTTTTATATATTTGATATATACGGTATTACACATTGATGATTAAGTATTTTGATTGTCAATATTTGATTCATAATTGTGTTCCCTTGGACTTATGTTGTCAATAAGTAAGTGGGAGCTTATATGATATAACATAAAGTCCTAAAATAGCCCCAATCAATGATCATCAAGAATGGGATATTGATGATATGCGATAAGATTGGTATGTGGACTGCATCATACTTTTAGAAAGTATAGTTGATCTCACAACTATGAGTTCATGTAATTCATGATGGTCACATAGATATTTTAGAGAATATTGGCATACCCACCGAGAAACCATTTGATAAGTTTTATTCATGTGTCTATGGGATTATCGGCGTATAGAGTAGTGTAATAGTCCTCCGACTTGAGGTCAATACGTACTACATGTGCGGAGTGATGTACTTTGACCATGACCAACGCTTGCACTCCAATCGGGGTAGATACGGCATGTGTTGGGTGCATCACGAAGCACATGGAGTAGTAGTTGAGCCAAGAAAGGATTCATTCCTCATAATAGATTAAGAGAGAACATTCTACTTCTCATATCTAGATGGATCATAAAGTCATTGGCCAATGCAAAGATATATTCGTTTTGGATATCGAATATGATCGTTATGGATCATCTAGAAAGATTGAGAGACAGAGACTGAGTTATTGGGATAGACACAATATCATGTTCTAGACTTAGTTGAATGTTCGTTGAATGAAAGGACCGTATCACTGTGAGCTCTATATTACAGGGAGTTTGAATAGTCCTCGCAAATGTCCTTATATATTAAGTTTGTCTGGTAAATCGTCTAGGGATTCTACTAAGACCTTAATTTGATTAGTGCTTAATATATAAGGCCCTATGGGTCACACAACAAGTGATTATACCTTCCGGTTGAACTATTAGAAGGAATTAAATATTAATTGGATTAAATTATATTTAATTCGTAATACTGAAAATTGATTAAATATAATTAGATTAAACATATTTAATTCATGAAATTGAAGGAGAGTTCTATTTGATAGAATTAATTAAGTAAAATACATTAGATTTATTATACTTAATTAAAGTGTATTTATAATTAAATAAGGTTGATATTTTCTTTTAATACATTTTGGAATTAGATTAAAAGAAAAATCAAAATAATAATAAATAATATAATAATAATATATATAGAGTAAAGGTAGGGTAGCGGCTAAAGCCACTCCCTAACCTTCCTCTTATTGTGATTTTATTATTATTATTATTTATTATTTATATTATTTAATTAATATTTAATTAATAAATAAAATAAAATAAATAATATAGTAAGGGTGGAAAGTGGCGTGCAGCCCACTTCCCCCCATATTATTGATTAGTTTGTTTTATTTATTTATTTGATTAAATAAATGAGATTGGTCCTAATTAGATTAGAACTCTTTAATGAATAAGATTTTCATTGTGATTGGGAAACTAGTTTAAAACTAGTATAAATACACCATTCTCCTTCATAATTCGTGACCAGTTTTCAGATTCAGTATTACCAGTTTATTTCCCTGCGAAGAGATTTCCTAGTCTTTCTCTTAGGGAGATCTAACCGTTCTATCAGAAAGGAGAAATCACGTGGATACCAAATGTCAAGGATTATCACCGCTAGGCTGGAAAATCTGTAAGTTATAACTCAGATCTGTTATTATTATCATATTCGTTATTTTGTCATAATCAGGGAAGATCTGTTTGGGAAAATTTTAAACTTCCGCTAACGTACTTTCGAGGTACGTTACATCAATTTCCTAACATCTCCCACCCCAGGAGTCCCCCCACCCCGACCCGACAGGATGGTGGGGAGGTTAGTCACGGTGACTCAGTCAGCAGAATGACAGTAGGCTCATACACCCGTGCGCACCAGAGGCCCAGTCTTATTTCAGGTTCTGTGACCTCCACCCGATCACTGTGGGGATTCGAACTTTGGTCCATTGTTCCAAATCTCCCACCACTCGACCAATTGAGCTACCCGTGCGAGTTGATTATTAAGGACTCAGTTATATTGGGATGAGTAGAAGTGATAACTTACCTTAGAAAGTACTACTTAGATTCCACTATCGTTGTGATATTAGGAATTTACATGATTATTAAGAAAAGTGGGTAAAATGTTTGATATCGAATTGACAAGGTAAGAATATAATAAAATTGATTTAGAACTACAGAAATTTTATCAAATTTAGTATAAGATTATCTTAATGAGACACGTTGAAAAAGAAAGATAACGTCTTTGGTTGAACAATTTTAGCAGGTGGGAAGGAATATAACGTCTTAACTTCTTGGTGACCATTACGAGTATTCTTCACTTATATACACAATACGCGCATAAACGAATTATTCTATTCTAATGAAAAATGCAAAAGATTGAAATGACTTGAAGCTAGGTTGTGCATTTTTTTGTTTGTAGCACATTTTCATTTTTAATTACGAGGATGCGCACTTTCCATAAGAAATAAGTATAAAACGATGCTCTTAATTACAATTTGGGTAGCATGAATTGCAAATCGAATCGTGTATCTCAAATGAAATAATTGGTATCCCATGTAGCCAACATAAATCTTGCAGCAAAACAACAAAATATCGAAAAGGTCACCATTGGTGTCGATATAATTAAAGTACCTTTCAAATATGAGCATCTACAAATAAAGATATCAATTTTTTATTATATTTTAATTTGAATGTTGCAACTTTGGAATATGTAAATTACAATTAGCAAAGTTGATTTAATTATCATCATATTTGATTTTATCAGTTAACCTTAAATATTGCAAATTGAAATCAATTTGTGAATGAGGAAAAATGTTTGTACTTCAACTTATATATATGAATGTCAGATCATATTTAAAAAAAAAAAGGGAAATCTGTCAATTTAGTCCCCGTACTATCACGAAAAAGTTAATTAGTTCTCGTACATTAAAAAAATCAATCAAATTCCTGAACTTTGTAAAAACGTTCAATTGAGTTCATCTGCAGGTTACTTGTCATGTCAAGCAGGTCACCGCTGACGTGGCACACACGTGGCAGTCCAATCAGCGGTGACTTTGTTACGTGACACACATGTGAAAGTTCAATCATTCATTTGATGATGACGTGGCGCACACGTGGATCGACGCGTGTGCGCCATGTCAGTGGGTGATTTGCTGACATGACATATAACCTGCAAATGGACTCAATTGAACATTTTTTAAAGGTTCACGGATTTGATTGATTTTTTTAAAAGTCTGAAGACCTAATTATTTTTTCCGTAATAGTACGAGTTCCAAATTGATAGTTTTCCCTAAATAAAATAAACCAAATTTAAACAGATCAGGTTAGTCAGACTTTTACATAGACCAAACGTCTACTAGAACAAACTATAGTTGATGAGACATGAAAATTTAGGTTAAGTTAAAAAACCATTCAAAGTATAGTATAAAAAGGACATAGATTGGACATAATAATATACGTAATAGATGTAGATGGCGGTGGCTTGAAAGGAGGTCTTCGCCATATCAAAATGGATGACAAACCCGATAGATTTATGAGAGTAGCATATCCGAAGATTTGAAACATGAAATACAATACAAAGAGAAAATGTATCATCACCTTTATACACAATTCATTAGTGATGCAACCATTCAAATTGGAAGAACCATCCCCGTGTGAAATAGGGACCGGAGACCCGTTTTAGAGTTTATAAATATACTTACTCATCGAGTCCTTATTTAACTTACACACCAAATTTCACTTCTTTTCATTTAAAATTTTCAATTCTTCCAGCCTGATTCGCTCTTTAACCTTCAAAATATAGCTTGTAGCTTTCATATCAACATCATCATCACCAACATCCTTACTAGACCCACGGACATTGCCACCGGAGCCGCAATGTCCATTCGTTGACTCGAAAGAGGGTACCTTTTTCACATTCGAAGAACGCGGCAAAGGCTCGGTAGTCTTTGTAGTACCACCCGCTTTATATTGAGTCGAAGATAGCGGATTAGCGGGGTGGGAGCGATCGTGGTTCGGGGCTTGAACCGGTACCGGTACCGCCTGTTTTAGGACGTGGCCTGGGACAACAAATCTGGCACGCTCCATTACTATAATGAACGTTATCCTAAAGGAAAATAAAGGAAACAAATGTTGGAGATCTAATAGCCAAAGTGGTGGTGCTTAATCCCTTGAACTACTAGCAATTTATAGCTTAGGTAATGAGTTGCATCATTTGGAAAGACCCATCACCATTCGTATAGTATATGCTTTGAGATAAAAATGAATCATTTTGCGTGGCCGGAGGCCCCCCTTATATTGTTGGAAATAAATTGACCAACTTAAGTCTTCGCTTATCAAAGAATAACTTTTAATTTTGCACGTAACAGTACAGTTTGTTTAAAGCGTTGCGTCCAAAAGGTTGATGCCCAACCCCAAGGCCCCCCACCCCGACCCGACGGGATGGCGGGGAGGGTAATCACGGTGACTCAGTCAGGAAAACGGCAATAGGCCTTTACCCGTGCGCATCAGAGGGCCAGCCTTATTTCAGATTCTAAAAAACCCTTTTTGGGTGCTGCGGGATTCGAACCTTGGTCTACGTCCAATTTTTCCCACCGCTCGACTAACTGAGCTACCCGTGCGGGTAATTTAAAGCGCAAATTACTCAGGTTCTTGAATGCTTCTAAAATAAATAGTGCTTGTCTGTTTAAGGAAAAATAAAAGGTGTTTCTTAGAGTTGAGTTTGTATTTTGAGTATTAGGACGAATAGTGCTTGTCTCTTTAAGGAAAAATAAAAGGTGCTTCTTAGAGTTGAGTTTGTATTTTGATAATTAGGACGAATGTGTGATATTTCGAAGATAAAAATGATAATATTTCGAATTTTGCATCTAACTCATATTTTTTATATTTAATTACATCATTTCTTCATCTTTTTTGGTGATGAAAAGAATATTCTTCTCAAAATTATTGATTTCTTACCTGTAAATATACAAAAGGTGGGACGAATATGGGATCTGATGCAATAGTACGTAGTTTGACAAAAAGATCTTTTAACTTTATTTGCAAAACTTAATTGGCAAAGACTACTAGTATAGTACTCCGAGTGAATATGATTAGAGATCTTTAATTTTGTCCAAAAGAGTAAAGGGCTTTTTCCTTGAATATTACCAAATTAAAATTGATTTCTGAAAAAAGTGATTATTTTTAAATAAGGACAATAATGTGACTAAGAATGTCACTTATTTGGAAAAACATGATGTCACTGACAATATGTCACTGTTGTATGTCACTATTATATATTTATATCACTTTTGAGTATCACTACCAGATTTCGTGTCACTTTAGAATATCACCGTGTCATTGGAAAATTTTTCAGACCACAACCTGTTGGCCACCTACGGCTACCACCGGCCTAAAACAGCCGGCCACCACTGCCAACCACTACCGGCAACCGACCGAAAACCCCCAATACGCCAGTGAACCGCCGTTGCCACCCCCAATAAACAACCACTCTGTAAGTGACCACCCCACCCCTAACCTTTCCGGCGGCCAGCCTCCCCAGCCACCTTTCCAATCGCCCAACCACCATACCTTAGCCCAAACTCCTCCTCCTTCCCGCTGCAATGACCTCAACACCTCCCAGAACTGGAATTCCACCCACCGCCACTGTCATCCTCAACTCCATCCCCCCAATCCATTAGCTCAATTTCCTCCAACCTCGCGCGCGCACCCTGCCCACCGGTAGCCCCGATTGGTAGCGCACACATCAAACTTGCCATCGTCGCCAATTCGTAGCCACGTCTTACACCAATAGATCGAGCGATGAAGATGACTGAAATAATTGTCAAATCGGTGCTCTAACTGGAAAAAAGAGATGAAGAAGAAGAAGAAGATTGGAAAGCTACGGCGGCGGATGCGAAGGAAGTGCATGCGGCGACTAAGGCAGCGCAGCAGCTGAGAAACATCAGCGGTGGGAGGCATGAGCGGTGGCCGGATGCGCGGTAGAAGGTAGGCGGTGGCTCTAGGTTACCAGCGAGACAGTGGATGGATTGCATCTGAAGTGTCCGTCCATGTAGCAGACTAGCAGGGGAGTAGAACGGGCAGGTCATTTAGGGACATTTGGGCCCAGTTATTATTAATTGGGTCAATTTTTTGAAAAATAAAAACGGAGTCATATATTTGTCATTAGAAATATGAGGTGTAATATTGGGGTCATTATTTCAAAAGTAAATGGCCGGTGAAATGAGTTGGGAATAGAATACTACGATAGTACAACTTTTATAAAGAATAAAGAACAAATCTATTTCGTGATATTGGTTAGCATGGCTTGTGTTTTGTGTAAAAAATTACACCATTCAAAAGTAAGTTTAAATATTACCCATCTTTTATTTTTTTCTCTTATACTTTCTCACAAATTAAATGTATTTGAAACAAGTAATTTTTAACAAAAATAATCGAAAAATTTTACAACAATAATGACCCCAATGAGTTAACTGTTTCACAAAAATATAGTCTGTAGCTATCAATATTTGACCTTAAACCTATATATATATATATATTTACTATAAACTTAATTTAATAATTAATACTTTTATAAATTTACTATAAAATTGTAGCTATCTTCTTCTTCTTCTTTTCTTCCTTTTCTCATCTTCTTCTAGGTCCTCTGTATTTTAATATATTTCTGGATTTAAATTTTAATTTATTTAGCAATTTTGAATCTCAGAATGCAGATTCCCAAAAAATGTCACTTTTTGAATGTGAGAATGTCAAACTTATTGGTTATTTGAAAAAAATGTCACTTTTATGACAATATGCTTATAAAGATGGCAATATCAGTTTGACATAAAATGACATTTTCGTATAAAAGATGACATTTTCTATTGTAAAAAGATGACATTTTCACATAAAAGATGACATTTTCTACTGTAAAAAGATGACATTTTCACATTGATAGTTGTGACACTTTCATAGGAAATTATGCAATTATCCTATAAAAAGATGACATAGAAGTGGCATTCTCATATCCAAAAGTGAAATTTTCAAATACATATTAGATATAAATGAATAAACAAATCAATTTCGGAATCTTGTTTTAATTTCTCATCCGAAATCTAAATCAAAATAATTTGTTTAAAATCTAAAAAGTAAGAAGTGTTAAAGTGAAAATCAAGAAAACTAAAATAGGCCAGAGTCGTACAGGAGAGAAGAGAAGAGTGGAAGAGAAGAGAAGGGAAGGAGAAGAAGAGAAGAAGAGAAAGGAGTTGGAGAAAATTACTTGGCTTCATTGGAGTTTTGGGAGATTGGAAATTAGGGATGTTTGCTACGCATCTCTTTTTCTTCATCGCAGATGAGATCGGAAATTAGGGATGCTTTCTACGCATCTCTGTTTCTTCATATTGGAGTCGGCGAATCCAGGGTTTAATTAAAGGAAGGGCAAAAATGTAATCAACGGTCCTATTTCGGGAATAATAGGCCTCAAGTCCTAATTTAGATTTTTAACTATGTTTTAGTCCTATTTAGGACAATTTATTCTTAATTAATTTTCATCAAATTTAAATAAGTCTGTAATTTAAATTCGAACACATTTAAATTCTAATTGATGAAACTGAAGGTTATGATAACGAGTAACAAGAATTGATCCATTTAATTTTCTTTTGACAAAAAATGAAGCTTGCCCGACGGTTTCCCTTCAGGACTTTTAATAATTATTCTGTGTGTATGTGCGCTCGGAATTATTCCTTAATGAAGATCAACAAGAATCATTACACAAGGAGGAACACGAACAAAGCCTCCCTATATAGGCTGGTACAATCAATATTTGTAAGTAATTATAACTTGAAGGGAATAATTACATTCCTTGTTTTTGTCATGTTTCTTCTCTTGCACCGAGGGCTCGGTTCTAAGGCCTAGGGGCGAGTGCTCTATAATAGGTCTAATTTTTTAAAAAATTTATATCTTCTGTTCTTTAATTCTTGCAACACTTTGACTTTCATGTTTGTCAATACACAACTTTGACTGTAATAATATTTGATTATGTATTAGTAAACATTATAAAAAGTTGATACTTTGGAAATTCACATTGATAGGAATTCAATAACATTTTATACGAAATAATTTGATTATGTATATTAGTAGAAAATAGTGGTCAAAGTATGGTCTATGAATAGTGCAAAAGTTACAATGTTGCAAGAATTAAAGAACGGAGGAAGTTACTATATCTCATCGAGATTCGTCCAATTTTGTTACATTTTAAAATTAATAAAGGGAAAATCGCACTTTTAGTCCCTCAAATAGTCAACATATTGAAATGTCAGACATGTGTTCCCTAGTTTGTAAATATCACCTCTCAATTGTCCGAATTGTTGTAAATGTGGTCCTTTGAGGGGTGAAATGTATAATGTGGACATGGAGTACATTTCACCCCTCAAAGGACCACATTTACAGCAATTTGGACAATTGAGGGGTGACATTTACAATCTTAGAAATACGGGTCTGACATTTCAATATGGTGACTATTTCAGGGACTAAAAGTGCGATTTTCCCATTAATAAATTTTAACTTTTTGTGGAAGAAATTTTAATACTATCACAAAATCAAAATTAAATTTCATAACCATTTTTAAATAGAAAAGCTAAAACACATTCACAATTTCATTATTTAACAAAATGATACTCCGCAGTTAATACTCCAACAAATTTAAAATATACAAATTCAGGATCAAACAACAATATAAACAAATTTACAATCTCAGTACTTCACGATTCAACAAGATAAGAATCAATAAGTAAACCAGCAATAAAAAATCTAAATTCGGTGAGAAAAAGTAAAAAGTTGTCATAACTATTAACTAATAATGTAGGGCGTTTTCCCCTCAATATTACTAAATTGAAGTTAATTTCCAAAAAAGTGACCACATTTACGTTTGGACAAAATGTGACTAAGATGCTTATTAATGTCACTGCACCACTTCCATGTCACTGTCGGATGTCACTGTCGCCGCCATCACCCATGTCACTGCCACCGAGTCACTGCCGCCGCCATTGCATGGGTCACTGCCACCGCCGCCACCACCGGCCACATTGACACCTCCACATTGACATCTCCCTCCGAAATTCTGGCCACAATGACACAAATACATTGACATCCACCACTACCTTCGACTAGTGGCCGTCGTCGATCACAGTGACGCTGCCATAATGACACTGAATTTTTCAGTGACATCGCACACCAGAAGATACTCCGGC